ACTAGCCCTCAGGAGAGCCGGGTTCGAATCCTACTTCAGACGGTTAGTGAGGGACCTTGGACGGCTGATCTCCCTCTGCCTAACCTGCCTTCCAGGAATGCTGCGGGAGACATGAGCTGACTGAGAGGAAATGCACGATTTAAAAAATCTGATTGGAATGCGATCAACAGCCACAGACAGACCCCCTTGCTTGGAAGCAGGAGCAGGATTTGAACCATGGGCTCAATGGCTGATCAGCTCAGCCTCGCGGAGGGGGTACCCAGAGAAAACAGAATCTGGAATCCAGCCCTCGGACGGGTCTAAGAAAAATCCCTGCAAAGGAAGGAAGAGGCTCGAGCGTCTCCGAAAGTGCCACGGAAACACGTAGGCAACCGGCGGCTGTTAGACCACGGCAGGGCACAGGTGGAACGAGGCCAAAACGGCAGTCAAGGTGACCTTCAAGGCGTCCCACCCCCACCCCCATTCTCTTCCCCTGCTCTGATCCAGCTACAAACAGACACAGCCAGTCGGGCAATATATACCGGGGAAAATCCATGTGCGAAGTGCATCCCTCTTTGGACGACCAGACGCAGGAAGCGAGGGATAGAGAAACAGCGTTTTGGGTCGCCCTGCATGCACAGATGGTCCATTTCCGGGGTGGGGAGAGAGGAGGCTCGTTCTGTTCCCAAAATCTAGTTGGCGATCCCCCCCCCCCAACATGGAGGAAGCCCAAAGCACCGCAAAAAAATGCCGATCCGATGCCGAAAGGCCCCGGAGGACCGGGCGTGCACGAGACTCGCCGTGCCCTTAAGGAGCGGGGTACGTGGAGACGGCCATCTGCCGTGTTGCCCCACCCCGGTGCCGTCTCCCAAGCAGAAGGCCCTGCCTGCGACCCCCACGTTTTGGATGCCAGGAAAGGCGTTCGCTTGCTCTGGGGCGAGGGTCCGTGCCAGAGCCTGCAGAGGAAGGAGGGTTTGTGGAGGGGTGGGGGGACGCCGCTGAAATGTCCAGGGCACCGAACCCGAAAT